TTACTTAAAATAATGATTTATTTTATCTAACAAAGTTTACATGGGTAAACGTTAAGAACAAGTAGGTTGAATAGATAAAAAAATGTGTAAAGGTAAACTTTTAAATAGCTTCCAAAATCTTTGGTAACTTGAAACTTTGAAGTTTTGCTAGGTTAAATACTAAATTGGGTTAAATTCATTGGATGTCCAAATCTTTACAAAATAAGATAAAATGTTAATGTTTTAACATTAATTACTAAATATAGGTTTATCTGATTTTGGCTTCTTATTACAGAAAACTAAATATACTTGGGTCTGCTAATAAGCATGTCTTATGCTTTATTAAAAAGTTCTATGAAAAAATCACATTTTATAAAATATAAAATATATTCATAAATTTGCCAATCTAAAAAATTCTGGTCTAATAGACCTTCCACAACTGGTTACTACATAGTTTTCACTGGAGAAAGGTTTCTGAGAGTTAAAATTTTGATACATGTGATTGAGACTGTTAGAAATGGTAAGGAAAACAACTCTGTATATAGGAAAATAGGAGATATGTAAGAAAGGCATGAGGAATAAAAATACATTTTTGTTGAGGGGAGAAAAAGTAATTTTTCCTAAAATAAGACTGGCTATTTAAGAGAGGTAAGAATTATGACAAAATTTGATTTTAAAAAGCAGTTAGAAAGTTTATGAAGGGAATCTTTGGAAAAAAATATTTATGGTAAGGACTCACTAAGATTGGAATAAATGAATTTTAAAAGTACAGTGATATAAGATTGGAATTTGTTTTTTGTCTAGAAATTGGCTTAACTTTGTTAAAAAGACAAAATTTATTTTATTGTTGGTCTGCTCTTAATAAGAAATTATAAACAAAGTATTTTATCTTTGCACAGAAAAACAAAGTTTCTATGTTTGTTTTTAATTAGGTCTTTGATTACTAAATCTTCTCAATATTAAAGGCACTAAGTTTTGCTAACAACCTTGTAACCCTTTATTTTTGCCTGTGGGATCTCTTATTGTCACCTTGGTCAAATAAATAATAAAATTTAAATTTTATAGTGATCTATGATCTTATTTAGGCATGTAGTTTAGAATCTTCTGAGGTTCTTAACAAACTTCCTAAAAATTCAAATTCTAAATAAAGTCTTTTTGATTTATTAGTCTTGTTTATTTGGTATGTTAAGTTACACTGGAAACATTGTCAAACAGATAATGATTAATTTTCTTAGGTTATATTATGTGGGTAAATGTCAGGATGGTTTTAAAAGTTATGTAAAATTCCTAAAATTTTAATATATCTTGGCATAATGTCATCACATGTAATTCTAATTATTAAAATGTTCTGCATCACAGAAATAACTGCATTTCCTTGACAACTACATTATAATAAACTTTTTAAAAAAGATTTTATTTATTTGAGAGAGAGAATGAGAGAGAGAGAACACATGAGAGGGGGGAGGGTCAGAGGGAGAAGCAGACTCCCTGCTGAGCAGGGAGCCCAATGCGGGACTCGATCCTGGAACTCCAGGATCATGACCCGAGCCAAAGGCAGTCGCTTAACCAACTGAGCCACCCAGGCGCCCCATTATAATAAACTCTTATCAGATTTTTAAACATGGCCGTTTTTGAATCTTTTGTCCCTTACAATTATTCTGATGTTCTTGCAAAATGCATTTCAGCTTCAAGGAGATTCCTGAAAAGGACTTTTGACAGATGCAGGTCTGATACTTTTAAGATCATAAAATTAAACTAAGAATTTCCAGAACTAATGGAAAAACTGCATTCAAACAGAGCAAGAATTAATAATAAGGGACTAAAAATTTTTAAAAATGATTATATATTTTATAATTCTTATTTAAATCATTGCTGTTTCTCTAATGTTTTCCAAATTTAAGGACACTTTTTCTCTTAAGATATCTATGACTTACAGAAATTTGGTAAAAATATTCTTTTGTAGGAACACCTAGGTGGCTCAGTTGGTTCAGTGTCTGCCTTCAGCTCAGGTCATGATCCAAGTGTCCTGGGATCCAGTCCAGCATTGTGCTCCTTGCTCAGCAAGATGCCTACTTCTCTCTCTGCCTGTCCCTCCCCCTGCTTGTGCTTTTGTTCTCTCTCTTTCTCTCTGACAAAAATAAATAAATAAAATCTTTTAAAAATATTCTTTTGTAAACAAACTGAAATATTTATTTTTCTCCCTACCTGATCCCTGAAGAATTTGGAAACTCTCAAGGAATATTCTGTCATGGTAATTATCATTATTTGCATAAATTCAATGAAAATGTGTACTCCTTATAACAAGATACCATTGGAAACATTGGTTATTTTACCAAGGCTTTAAGTGGAATGTCATTTTTAAGAAAGACATACATAGACTCAGATATAACCAGACAGCTTTAAGGAATGGAGCCAATAAAGACCTTTGGAAATGTTGGCCTGGCACATTGCTTACAGAGTTCCCACCAGCCTTACTGGGTGAGTAAAAAATGTCAGTTCTTGGAAGGTGCAGGAATCTCAAGATATTTCAGGGACCTCAGGAAAAGAAGAAATCACTCAAATCTACAGGTATTACAGGCAAATCTGATGACAAGTTTTTGACTTGGCTTCTGGCCTTGAGAGGCTATTGAAAGTTTAATCTAAATTTCATTGGAAAACCTCCCACCAAAGCAGGTTTTAAAACAATCTCTATGCTCAATCACCATTCTTGCTGTACTTATGTAAATAATTATATAAAAATTAATTAAATTTATTAAAACTAAACTTATCTTACAAACAAATCAGTCTTAATTTGGCTATCTTTGACAGGAGTGAAGGTGACTTTAGAGAGAAAGATTATATTTCAATAACACACCTTCATGGATGTTAGATTCTAATTCTGATTATCTTTGAGTGTTTGTTGTTTCCATATAAAACTGGGCTGGATCTAAATTCTTCTGGTTTCCTCCAATATCTGGCTATGACTCTCCAAAATAAGGTTTCCAATGTTCTCCTATTCTCTTGTCTTAAAATAATTAAGAAATAAAACTGCCTTTTTTCCTGAAGCCCTGAAAATTGAAGCTAGACAACTCAGGAGAAACTTCAGAGAAATTGCCACAATAGCTCATATATAGACAATTTTCATGCCTGTTGCTCTATGAACCACTCAAAAGAATCACTGGAGACATTTAAACTATAAACCATAAAAATCCATCAGATTGCCAGTGTCTGTTCCCACTCCATCTGAGGATGCTTTGAGCCTGACATCTAAAACTCCTCTCGTTGGGATCACTTAGAACCAGATACTGGGTTTATAATTTGCTCCAAGCATTAACCTTTGTTTTTTGTTTGTTTCCATAGACATTGGGGAGGATATGTGTTGTGGTGAATTGTGTAGGACTGATAAATCACAGAACTGTACCCCTGAAACAAATAATACATTATATGTTAATAATAATAAAAGAAAGTACACCAACCTCAGTAATAGAATATTTTATATAGCTTACATACATTTGTGTTGCTATGCTTTCAATGTGTGTAACTGTTATTAAGATTACTCAGATAAAATTCATCTGAAGGTATGGGGAAAAATGCCTCTTATTAATTACCTGATTGCTTGCTGAACAAGGTAGAGTCTATATAATAGCTAACACCGATTGCTGTACCTATATTAACTAGTCCTTGGAAGTAAGAATCCAGAGAGACAAAATCAGGCAGCAAGCCACATGGCTGCAACAGGCCCTTGCCCACAACATCCCATTTTTCCAGGGTGGCTGGGACTGGTTTACTGATCTATTCTCTTTGAAACTGATATATTCTTTTGGTATCAAATCAATTTGAGAGGGAATGATAAAATTGGGCTTAACTATACTGTTACTATTCCTTAGACTATACTTGGGGATAAAGTTAATGATGCCATGTAGTGCCAAACAATGTAGAAAAATGAGATAAAAAACTACCTCTGATACCCCTCCATGAGAACAAGGAACCAAAAGCTAAGTCCTGCACTCATGTCAAATCCTTCCATTCCAAAGCCCATAGTCTGCCCTAATTCAGCTTGAAGCAGTTATAGATGATGGACCTCTATGTATGTTCCATAGAAATGGAATGAAGGATTGACAGTGGGGATTTGTAACAGCACTCCAACTGGTATTAATGGTTAAGTTACTTCAAGCTTATGCGCTCCTTGTTTGTTGACCTAAGTCCCTTGGTTTATAATAGAATTAACCTACTTTCCTTGAGATTTTGCAGACCATTGGCCTTAAGGAATGAAGGGCCAGACTATCCCAAAAGATAAGGCCTGACCACATTTGAAAACAGCTGCCCAGCAAGTCTGTTCAAGGTCATGTTGACATATGATTAACTGCCTGACATATGATTAACTGCCCCTGTACATAGCCCCCACCATTTCCCAAACTTCTCTTTTAAAACCCTCTGGTTTCATCTATACTGGGGAGATGGTCTTCAGGACATTAGTCCACCATCTTCTCAAGATGCTGACTTTCTGAATAAAGTAACCTTTCTTTTCCCACCATTACTTGTCTCTCAAGTATTGACTTTCACATGGCAAGCCGCTGAACCTCAGTTTGGAACCAATTTTCTATCCTGTAGCACCAACACTTCAAGATTCTTTGAAACTGGTCTTTGAGCATCTAATAGGAACTTGACAGCAAGGCCCCCTTCTATTTCTGTCAAAAAACAAATATGCTTTTCTTTATACAAATTTGCTAAACCCTTCTATTTATAATAAACCTTAAGTAAGTTTTCCCTGAAAACATCTTATATTGCAAAGCAAATGCTCACATTTAAAAATTGTTGCCATAAAATAAAAGTACCTATTAAGAGCTTAGCTAACACTAATTAAAGGATTATGTCCCATAAGGTAAGAAAAAAATTGTAAAATTACATAAATTATGCTATTTATTAAAATTAGCTTTAGATGCACAAAATTAAATGTTGCTTTAATTCCACCTTCATAATTTGGGGGGTGTTGAGAACATATTTTTTTGAATGATACTTTCTAAATTAATCGTTCCTGTTACCTTTCATAGCATCCATGCCTCCCACAGCATAAAGTGCCCCCACAGTTGATTTTCTAGGCTTTGTTCGAGGGCTTTGCATCATAGGTCTTCTCTCAGGTAAGAGATGGTACTTCATAGCTTCCATTAGGAGCTTCTGACACTCAAGATCACCAGCAAACATAGAGCTGTTTTCAAGATCCACCAGTAACTGAAAAGTAATGATGCATGGTATATGAAGTAAATAACCTACCATTAAAAATAACATATTTTTGCTTATATAACCTTGGAGAAAACTTGAGCTAATTCAAATGTAAAAGTGTTAGTATTTTAAGTTACTTAGTAACATATGTTTATATTCACTTATGATTTAAAATGATTAAAGATCTCATAGTAGTAGCTACTGATCTGTTCAGATTTATTTGACATATTATACATTTTTTGAATAGATACACATATAATATCAAGAAGTGAAAGTGAAAAGACACTTAGAAAATGGGTTACTGAAAGCAGTTCACAATGGGTTACTGAAAGCAGTTCAAGAGACTATCTATGTCTACACAAAACAAGCGTCTTCCAGTCTACTGCATGTAGTCAAATAAGCAGCCACTTAATTGGTGGATTTAGAGAAGTTGGTACAAGCATGCCCAGTTAAAATAAAGTAACATCACCCATAAAGAACTGCATCTTTATCATCAAATCACTTTTGTAAAGTATTCTGAAAGTAAATGCTTTTTATCTGTACATGTACATGTGTACATCAGTAAAGCATATGTGTTAGTAGGTAGCCAAAACATTAGCAATAGTAGATGATCAATCCTTTCTAACCATCATTGCCTGGCAGACACTAAGACCCTCACTGAATGGGATAAAAGCTAAGTAAAATATTTTTCTTGAGGTGAGCTGAGGAGAAGTGAAGAGCTTGTTTCAGAATTTTACCAAGGGTCATTTATATTGGTTCATTGGAGTTTTGGGTCTACAGTATTATACGACATTGAGAGGAATTGCAGTTTGGAGTGGAAATGCTAATCTCATCCCATAAAACTTCCCTGAAATTTCCTGTTCTGCAGTGCTTAATCCCAGCTTAGTTCTCTTATGGATCACTATTTTGACTTGGCTGGTGAGACCTCAAGCATTTCCTTAATGCATATGCTGCTGAAAATAAGTTTGAAAACTGAGTTATATAACTTTTTTCAAAATATTCTTCAGGGATTTACCACCATTCTCTTCATATATTTCATTTCTAGAGTATTTTTTTAAAGTCACTATTAAAGTTGTTTTGGAAGGTCTATATTCTGTATGATATTACCTACTACTGCCATCATTAGGAAAAGTTCACAACAGTCCACACTTTAGGCATAAGGCATACTCAGGGATGGGAAGCCAAAGACCATTTCTTGTGTGTTTGGGCTGGAAATTTCTCCTCATTCCAATAAAGTAAGACAAGTCCTAACTAAGCAGTTTGCTGAAAGAACATATAGAAAAAGCAATATAAAGTTAAGGGCCTCTGATCCATTATACCAGTGCATCTCAATTTTTTTGCATATCTAAGAATCATCTAGTGAACTTATTAAAACATGGATTCCTTGACCTCACCCCCATAAATTGTTTCAGTACATCTGTGGTGGAGGCTTGGAAAACTGGGTTTCTAACAATATCTCAGGAAATACTAAGCTGCTAGCTCAGGGTCATTTTGAGTAGCACTGCCTTAGAGAATCTAATAAATCATATAGATCCTCTCATGAGAATAAGGCATGCAAGTGTACACACATTCACACAAACATAAAATTTCCAAAGATTCTGAACCTTGGTTCTAAAATTACATGTATATTTTAATGTTTCTCTTTTTGGTTTTACCACTGCCTGCCCTTTGAATAAATTTGCTATACCCAAGAAAGCAGTCAGTGTTCTTTCATTGCCTATGGATAAATTCTTCATAGTAGATATGTAGCTCCATTGATTTAATTAACAGATAAAAGTAAAAAAAAAGTAGAGAAATCATCAGTAAATTAATATTCTATTTTTCAATATTAGTATTTAATTAGTAATTTGTTGAAAATTGATTAATTTTAATGTTTATGAAACTACTGATCCACTAGGTCTAGATGAAGCTCTTCCTTCCAATGTGGATGATATTTGATGATTTCAGCCACAAGCTATATAATATATGAAATGTGCATATATGCAATATATTTATATATATACAATATACAATTGATATCTACTATTGATCAATTTGCTACAGAGAAAAATTGTTATCACCAATGGTAGAAGTATATAATGAGACTGCACTCCAACCTCACTAAGCTTCACTTACTAAAATTCAGTATAAGGTAGGTCAATCCCAAATTATATCCAAGGGTGTTTGTTTTCAGAATCATTTTTACTATAATACTCCAGCATGTATGATAAGGATGTAATTATAATGATTCTATAGTCATCTGAAGCTACTATAGTATGATTTCAATCATAGCAGGTAATTAACCATGTTAGTATTAGCCAGACTAACTCCTTGCTAAAGCTCCTTTGGGATGCTACTATATTAGTTATTATCAGCTTGCCTAAAAGGTGGGCAGGAAAAGAAAAAAAAGAGCCTAGTCATTTTCTCTGCTTCTTACAAGTGCTGTTTGATGAGAAACTAAAGAATATGTTTTCTTAGATTTTTTTTTTAGGGATTATCTGTAGCTTAATTTTTATATTTGTTTTCTCTGCATCATAAATAGTGCTAATTGAAGGTTGGATATGTCCTTCTGTGAGACAAATACTATACACTCCAGTTAACAGAAATCCTATGAATAAAATAAAATTAGACAAAAAAAGAATGGATTTATGTTTAGTGGTAGTTTAGAACTATATGTTACCTGGGTAAATTTCCATACCTGTGGTGGAAGTAATGGCAGTCTGATATAAGAAAGCAACATTGCTAGGTCTCGTTGCCTAGCCTGCACATCATGCCCCACCCACTGCATTAGAGCGTGGAAAATTGTTTCTTCATCAGGCACATTAATGTCATCACTGCACAGAAGTTTTGAAATTTCATTAGCTGGAAGCAAGAGGAATTCTTGGTTCTTTATTACCTCAATGAAGTGTTCCTAGAAAAGAAAGGTTTTCTACTGAAACTTTGTACTTTAGAAATGTCTTAACCAAACAAACATATGGACACTTTGCTTTGTTAAAATTCAGAAAAGACCAGAGGGACAGGTATATGCATTTATAACAAATAGGTGTCATTGCTGCCTGTGACAGAGGGCATGGGGAGTCTTCTGAAGTTGAGGAGCCAAATGTTTCCCCTGAGAATTATTTATTGAACACAAAGGGATTAATTGCTTCATAGGCCACATGGATAGTGCCTGAGTTGATACCAGTCTTTTCTCTTCTCCTAGCTGTTGTAGGTGGCAACAACTTACAACTCCAGAAGTGACTGATGTTGAGTTGGTCTTTAGCCAAAACCCTTAAGAGAAAGGGTGGAAATTTTCAAGGGGGAGGCTACCTTGAAGACCTGGGAGAGGTAACTCTGGCTGTGCATTTGAGGGGGCAACATACTGAATTCCTTTGAGTTGAGACAGATTGATGAAAAACTCTTTTCTCTTATGGAAAAGCATGATCTATTAACCATGGCAAAGTTATATTTTCCAATGGATAATACACAGATTTAGGACAATCTAAAAGGGACTCATGGAGTTATTTTTTGGGGGGTGAATGGGGTTGTCTTGCAATTTTTATATATTATTCCTTAATTCTCTCTTCTGTCACAGTGTTATATTTTATCAAGTATCAAATTTCAGGCAGCTGTGTTTCAAATTTTTTCATCAAAACACCACTATATATTTTTTCTTATTTATAATGTTGCATATTTTTCTATACAACACAATTACCTTTTTCAACATTTTTCATAGTAAAAAAATCTCGTTTTAAATGTGATATACTTCCAAAATGGAGATAAACCTGTCTAGTTGGTAATTTATGTTGCAAAATAAAGAGATATTCTTGAAGCAGCTTAAAACAGCCTCTAAATAAATTGGGGGGAATCTTGGATAAATCAAATCACTACCTCAGCTCCACTCAGAGTTTAGTCATTGTTGAACTGAGTTAGCATAATAGTAAAATTATTCATACAAAAACCATTGTTTGATAGACCCATCAGAGAGCTCTGGTACCATAAATTCCAAGCTAAATTGTCTATTTAAATGAAGAGCCCTCTTGTGACTAAAGTAAACAATTAAGAGAAGACTACTGTTTTTAATGTAGCAGATGTCCCTGGTTGAAAACCCTCTCACCTACAGCAAAGTAATGGAACTAGTACTATAATTAATAATGTTACATTTGTACAGCACATCACACTTTCACAAACATTTAGTCAAAAAAAAAACATTAAGTCATCACCAATATGATCTTTTAGGTGGTGAAATTATTCTGATGAGAAAATAGGCTATGTGAATTGTTTGGTCTCCTGTGCAATAAATGGCAAAATATAGACTCAAACTTTAGTCTTTAGGTCTACTCCATTTTGCCCAACACTGCAACTGCCTTTCATAAGTGATATAATTTTTATGAATGGGTTAAGGAAAAGATAAAACTCTAAAAATGTATGGTTACCTATTACTGGTAGTGTATGTAAACTCAGAGTTTATATCGTTGTCAATATGACGGAAAACCCTATATCTCATTCTCCTTTCTATCCACTCTCCAACGAAAGAAAAGAAAAATAGAAAGCCAATGAGAGAGAGAGAGAGAGATTGGTCCAGTTGGTAAAACCTACTCAATGGTTAATGTGGATCATAGAAAAATCTATCAAATTTGGTTATGCATTTAAAAAGTTAAGAAATGATGCAAATAGTTTATATGATGGTCAATTTATATAGCGAGAAATTAGAGTTATGAGAGAATTTGTTATGGTTCCAGAGAAACTTCCCAATGAGACTACTGAAAATTGTTTGGCAATATAGTAACCTAGTCTAAATAAAAAATAAATATATTGATTTAAAGTATACACATGGCACTGCAATATCCAGTACTGTAGAGAAATATTTAGTTAAGCTTAAAGATTGATTTTAAATTGTTTTATTTTTGAATTATTTTGTTTCTAATCTCAAGATAAACACTTTCTTCTATACACCTTTCCAAGAGGTTTGATACTCCTTTTTTAATCCACACTTACTTTGTTGTAAGACTTACTAGATAAACATAACATACTTGCTGAGTGTTTCATCAGTGCAGACTACTATTTATAGAATTATGATGGCTAATTTAATGTGTCAACTTGACTTAACCATGGAGTGTCTAGACTTTGTATCAAACATTATTCTGGGTGTATCTGTGAGGATATTTTTGAATGAAGCCCATTCACATTAGGGAGGGAGATTATGTTTTACACCGTCTAATATTCAAATGTTTGTAATTGAGTCTTGAGAGTTCAACATTATTCTTTTTTTAAAAAAGATTTTATTTATTTATTTGACAGAGAGAGACACAGCGAGAGAGGGAACACAAGCAGGGAGAGTGGGAGAGGGAGAAGCAGGCTTCCCGCAGAGCAGAGAGCCTGATGAGGGGCTCAATCCCAGGACCCTGGGATCATGACCTGAGCTGAAGGCAGACGCTTAATGACTGAGCCACCCAGGCGCCCCAAGAGTTCAACATTATTCTTAAAAAATAAAATTATTTGTATTTTTATAATATCAATGCAGTATTACAAAAACATTATTATAGCAAGACCTTTGCCTCCTTTGCTTTATTTGTAGTAGATACTAAAATAACTGAAGAAAGGGAGTTAAGTGAGACAGCAGTAATGTGCTTTTTGCAAATCCTGATTTAACACTCAGTTTCAGCCACATAATAAGAAAAGGAAGACAAGTTCATTTTGAGCAACAAAAATAATTCAAGCTGTTTATCAGAATGTGTTTTGACAGTGAGAGTAAGATAACAGACAGGAAACTTAATACTTAGTTTAAGAATTTAAGTAAATTAACAGGCAGTTTTGATGTTTGGCTTTTGTAGTAGGATTATTCTTTGAGCTATATAACTGATGTTCCTATAGACTATATGGCATCTGTATTTAGCACATAGGAATATAAATAGTATGATTCGGTAACATATGTTAAACTCTCCATCCATTATAATATAATTCTCCCCAAAATGCTATAGTTTGAGGACTTTGTTTGAAACTTCAAATTTTGAACAATGACCAGGGATGGGAAAAAGAGGGAGAAAGTTTTACTAGGAAAATTTAGAGTATTCAAATATTGGAAAGTTGAAAAATTTAAGATCTGCATTAAATGTTAACAAAATATTGTTTATATGCCTCTCAATCATAAACTCATAATGTTAATTTTATTTTTAGATGTGATTCTCTATTGTTTGCTTTTATGTACTTACCTTTTTGTTTTTGAATCTTAAATAACCATAGCAATTTTCTTAGAGTGAAAGATTTATCTTTTTGATCGGGTTTTACAGAAAGACCCATCTCATATTTTTCCTGCTTCAGGGGTTCAAAAGTTCATTTTCTTTTTTTTAAAGATTTTATTTATATTTTTATTTATTTATTTATTTATTTATTTATTTGACAGAGAGAGAGAGCACACATAAGTAGGCAGAGAGAGAGGGAGAAACAGGCTCCCTGCTAAGAAGAGAGCCTGATCCCAGGACCCTGGGATCATGACCTGAACCAAAAGCAGCCACTTAACTGACTGAGCCACAGGTGCCCCAAAAGTTCATTTTCTTCTTTGTATCAGGGAATTATTAGCATTAATGGTAATTTAATATCCTCTGACTACTTTTTCTGGTCTCCCTACAATCTATATTTCACTTCACTGTCACTTGACTGAATAAAGATAGTCTTATCCGATCCAATTTTAAAAGACATATTCAGTTAATTTATTATAATTACTTATAGAATTGAGAAGGATTTTAAGTTAGTTACGTTAAAGGATTGAACTGCAAGTTGTTTTTAACCAAAATAGATATTTTTGTTAAGACATAAAATATCCATTTAGTAGAATTAGTTGATTTTGATAGTTCTTAAGCTCTTCCAGTTAATATTGATATATTAATTAGTTTTTGTTCTTATTGAATGTTTTTATATTGAAATCCTTTTCTTATTCAATGTTATTTAACTTTCATTAGAAATCATAATGTATACAATTTTAGAAGCTAAAATTCTAATATTACAAAAAATCAAGGGCAAAGAAACAAATGATCTGATTAAAAAATGAGCAGAAGACATGAATAGATATTTTTCCAAAGAAGACATATAAATGGCCAACAGATACATGAAAAGATGTTCAACATCACTCATCATCAGAAAAATATAAATGAAAATTACAATGAGATATCACTTCACACCTGTCAGAATGGTTAAAACTAACAGCACAAGAAACAAAAGATGTTGGTGAGGATGTGGAGAAAGAGGAACCCTCTTACACTGCTGTTGGGAATGCGAACTGGTGCAGCCACTCTGGAAAACAGGATGGAGGTTCATCAAAAAGTTAAAAATAGAACAGCCCTATCATCCAGCAATTGCACTACTAGGTATTTACCTAAATAATACAAAAATACTAATTTGAAGGGATGCATGCCCCCTGATGTTTATAGCAGCATTATCAATAATTGCCAAATTGTGGAAAGAGCCCAAATGTCCATCAGCTGATGAATGAATAAAGAAGAAATGGTGTGTGTGTGTGTGTGTGTGTGTGTGTGTGTATTACTCAGCCATCAAAAAGAATGAACTCTTGCTATTTGCAACAATGTGGTTGGAGCTACAGAGTATTACACTAAGCAAAATAAGTCAGTCAGAGAAAGGAACATACCATATGCCTTCACTCATGTGTGGAATTTAAGAAACAAATGATCACAGGGGGAAAAAAAAGAGAGAGACAAACCAAGAAACAGACCCTTAACTATAGAAAACAAACTGATGGGTACCAGAGGGCAGGTAGGTGGGAGGATGGGTTAAATAGGGGATGAGGATTAAGGAGTGCACTTGTGATGAGCACCGGTGCTGTATGTACATGTTGAATCACTAAATTGTACACCTGAAACTAATAGTGCACTGTATGCTAACTAAATGGAATGTAAATAAAAACTTAAATCAGGGATGGGCGCTTGGGTGGCTCAGTCAGTTAAGCATCTGCTTTCGGCTCAGGTCATGATCACAGGGTCCTGGAATTGAGTCCCACATCAGGCTTCTCCCTCTCCCTTTGCCTGCCTCTCCCACTGCTTGTGTTCTCTCTCTCTCTTTCTCTCTGTCAAATAAATAAAAATCTTTTTTTAAAGATTATTTATTTATTTATTTGAGAGAGAGAGAGAGGAGAGCATGAGAGGGGGAGGGGCAGAGGGAGCAGCAGACTCCCTGTTGAACAGGGAGCCTGATGTGGGACTCGATCCTGGGACTCCAGGATCCTGACCTGAGCTGAGGGCAGTCGCTTAACCAACTGAGCCACCCAGGTGCCCAAATAAATAAAAATCTTTAAAGAAAAAGAAATCACGGACAGTATATTTTCCTAATACTGTGGATATGACTTGAAATATGTCCTTAAATGATTTAATTTTTTGCAGTATTCTCATTTCTCCAAGCTTTGAGATTTAATTAAACCTTTACATTTTAAAAAATGAGAAACTTGCTTGAGTACAGCTCAACCAAATATTTTTATCTAATATCCATTATGTGCAAGTCATTTGCAAATTATATAAATTTATATTGCTCTTCAATTTTATCCCAAAATTATAGTCTTTCCTTTGGAAAGATTGTGTGTATATATACACACACACACTTACATTATATATTTATATACACACACATATGCATATGTATAAATACATATCAGTAAACCAATCAGTAAGTCAGATATTGTGTTAATATAATATTACTACAAGTTAATTTGAAGCAATTTATTTTACCATTGTGTACTTATGTGCCACACTTAGGAGCTCTGTACAGCCCTGGGCATCTCCAAATGATCGAATTCCTAAGCAGTTTGAAGGATGGAGCTGCTTTATGAGGTAATTGGAGCAGACTTCAACGACTTGAGTCAGCTGCAAGAGACAAGCTGCAGCCAACAAATTTTCAATAGTATCTTCTTTTAACTGCAGAACACCTAGATGGTTTGGAAAAGTAAAGAATGATTATATGTCCCAAAAGTAAGACACATATATGCTAACTAGTTGAATTTTTCAATTTCTCTCATTACTAGGGCTATCTTTTCTAGTGCACAGTAGCCACTATGGAAATACCTTTCAAAGCCAACATATGCAAGGGAGTCTGTAATAACATTAATAAGATGGCTGAAGGGAGCCAGACTAGATTATCAAAAACAACTGTAACAAATGAACAGTGAACACCTTTATTGCAAAGAACAGCAACTTGTTATTTCTTTGTCATCTTAGACCTCATCTAAATCTTATATCAATCATTGAACACTACGTCTGAAACTAATGTACTATATGTTGGCTAATTGAATTTAAATAAAAAAGAAAAAATCTACAATTCTTTCACCTAAATAAAATAAATAAGTAAACAGATAGATAAATAAATAAATCTTATATAAATAACTGTAAATAATATGACTCAAGGAGTATTTTGTCATATTGTATAATGACCATACAGGTAACTATCATTGGTATGGAAAAAATTTTGATAACTAAGTAGAGCATTGAGGTTATATGTCTATATTTTTGTGTGTCTGTCTGCATTTATTAGCTGATAAGGATGAATTTGCTCAGATATTATGCCTGGAACTGATACCTGGTATTGTCTCAAAAGAAAAATAATATTGTTAACAGTCCTCAAATAAATGTTTGTATGATCATTTTCTTAGATATAAAAAACTGGCTCTGTTTGAAAATATCTGTGAAGAGATTTTTTTTAGAATGAGATCAGAGCTATGTAATATTTCCTTTATATTGAGATATAATATATATATATTTAAATATGTATGTATGCACATACATATAAAATTTTCAGAGGAAGCATTGTTGATGACTTATTGCAAATGTAAGTTATTTTGCATTTTATTATATCCTTTTTTTTGTTTTAGCCAAAGTATAAGTAAGTTATAAAAAATGATATTTCATATGGAGTATATGTACTATAAACTATTTCTTTATATTTTCTCCTTGTAAGATGCCTTAATATGGATTCTATATGGTTTTACAAGCATAAATAAAAGAGTAAATACATACTGTGAGATGCTCTATATTTGTTTCAACCTCTAAAATATGTGGTGAAACGGTCTTGTCCATCAGCAGACTTTCTTGAGTTGTTTGTTTTTTGTCATGGATTTTGAAGGTAGAGACCTGCCCATATCTCATGAGACCCAGAGAAGTTATAAACTATTCTCAGATTCAGATCTAAGATTCACCTGCTACAGACATTGAAACTTGACCTGGTTATTCAGAAGAATATTAATTTCTTAATGAACAAAATCATAAACCCTTAGAAGAAAGTAGTAAAAAAATCTCCTTGACATTGGTTTTGGCAATAATTTCTTGGTAATACACCAAAAGACAGGCCACAAAAGCTAAAATAAACAAGTGGGACTACATCAAACTAAAAAGCTTCTGCACAGAAAGGAAATATAAAATATATTGAAAAGGCAATCTACAGAATGAGAGAAATATTGCAAATAAGGGGTTAATATCTAAAAGATATAAAGGATTCATATAATTCAATAGCATGAAAACAAATAATCCAATTAAAAAAAGAACAAGTAGGGGCTCCTGGGTGGCTCTATGGGTTAAGTGTGTGCCTTTGGCTCAGGTCATGATCTCAGGGTCCTGGGATCCAGCCCTGCATTGGGCTTTCTGCTCAGCAGGGAGTCTGCTTCTGTCTCTCCTTCTGCCCCACTCCCCGTCAGGCTCTCCCTCTCTCAAATAAATAAATAAAATCTTTAAAAATAATAAAAAATAAAAATAAAAAATAGCAAGTAAACTGGATCTTTTTTTTTTCCCAGAAATGACATACAAATGACAAATAAGGATATGAAAATGTGCTTAACATTACTAAATACCAGGGAAATGTAAATCAAAATCAGAAGAAGGGATAGCCAATGTTGGTGAGGTTTTGGAGAAAAGAGAACCTTTATGCACTGTTTGTAGGAATGCAAATTAATACAGCATTATGGAAAACAGTATAGTGGTTCATCAAAAAATTAAAAAATAAAACTACCATATGATCCAAAAATCCTACTCATGATTATATGTACAAAGAAATGAAATCAGGATCTTAAGAGATATCTGCACTCCTATGTTTGTTGCACTATTATTTACAATAGCTAAGAAATGGAAACAACCAACCTAAATGTCCTTCAACAGTTGAATGGATAAGGAAATATATCTATTTTTTTTTCTGATTTCTTAGAAATGGCAAGTAGATCGGTGGTTGCTAGGGACTGGGAGGGGGAACTGGGGAGGTGTAGGTCAAAGGGTGTAAACTTTCAGTTATAAGATAAATAGCTGTGAGCATCTAATGTACAGCATGGTGTCCATAGTTAATAATATGGTATTCGGTATTGTATACTTGAAAACTGTTGAGAGTATATCTTAAGGATTCTCACCACAAAAAAAGAATTAACTATTTGAGATAATGTGTGCATTAATTATCTTCATCTATGTAATCATTCCACTTGTGTATGTATAGCAAATCATCACATAGTATATTCTAAATATATAAAATTATATTTGCCAATTATTGCTCAATAAAGTTGGAATATATAAATAAATACTTATTGGCCTCCAAACTCATCTTGTTACCTTTGTCTTATACTTTGAGTAAATATGACTTTATTATTTCAAAGGAAGAGACTATGTCTCTAATATAGAGTTGGAATACTACAATTTTAGTTTTTACAAATGAGAATGGGGGTGCCTAGGTAGCTCAGTTGGTTAAGTGTCCAACTCTTGATTTCAGCTCAGGTCATGATCTCTGGGTCTTAGGATCAAGCCCTGCATCGAGCTCTGAGTGCTGAGCATGGTGTCTGCTTGAGATTCTCTCTCCCTGTCCCTCTGACCCTCTCCCCTCTCACATACTCTAAATTAATTAATTAATTAATTAATTAACGAATAAATAAATAAATAAATTTAAAAAATGAGAATGTACCCACACCATTCAAAAGAGAGACAAACATGTCCTTGTATTTTTGTGTTAAAATAGCTTTATTCTCTCATGGTCAAAATTTTTATAACATATTATTTACCTCTTATTCTTTTATACTACTGAATTTAAATTCTGATTCTGCCCCTTACTACCTTGGGAAAGTTACCTAACTGGTCGATCCTTCAGTTTTCTCATTTCTAGTTGGAATAATAATGTAGATTATATAATGTAGGGTTATTGTGAGGATTGAATGACTTAATACATGACACGTTACCTGTGTAAGCATACTGCACCAAGGAATTAAGTGCATTAGGATCAACTCCTTCCATCTTGACCTCTTCTTGTTTGGCTTCAAGCACATCATTAGTAAACATTGCAGCAAAATAATCAGACACTGCGCTGAGAACCAACCTTGAAATAGGAATGTTTCATAGGAACTTAAATTAGTTAGTAGTCTCATTGAAAATCATGAAGTACAATCAGTAAGTTTGTAACACTGCTGAGTTTGTTATCTGCATGAATCTTGCAGAGTTTAGTAAAGTGTAGTGAAATTAGAAAGGTAAATTAAGTAGGTTGATTTTCTTTTGAGGGTTTATGCTGTTTTACATCAATTTCTCTGAAGTTTGGCTCTTCTAAATATCACACAGGGAAATGGATCATATATGCTAATGCTTTTTCAATGTAGGAAGATAAGAATATATTTTCCTCAGCATTCTAATTTGTTTTCAATGGACCAATTCATTCTCATTCACATGCTATACTCATGAAACTCATATCTATCTGCATAAGGATACTTACCGATGGGCTGGGATTCGGAGGTGTCCAGCAATAAGTAGTACATCACACAGTTGTTTCTCTTTCAGGTAGTTCTCCATTTTGTGGAGAGTTTGCTCTGCATGGTTTATAGCATGGAACTGCTCCTCAGATCTGTTGACACTCATTTCTTCAGGATTTTGTGTATCCAATCTGAAAGGTGGGTAAGAGGGAGAATATGGTTTATTCTCTTAGCGAGTGTGCAAATGTCCAGTGGAAATTTGGACACACCAACTTCTAAAAGAAATATACTGGATTAAAGTTAAATTAAAATTTGTCCTCCAATCTTAAATATTTTGCTATAATTACTAATTTTCCATTAAAGTGAAGTATCATAGTTCATAGTTATACTTGGAATGGAACCATAAATATGTATAGTTCCATTGAAGGGCTAGTGGTAATTTTTATATGCACAAACATAAATTTCAAAATGCTAGCCTCTTTCTTTGGTTTTTATTGGTATCACAATTATGCCATTAGGCATAAAATTGTAGTGATGATTCAAAATACATTTCAAATTTAATTATGTCCTGAAGCTTCTCCATGGAATACTCATTATGTGTTTCTTGAAGAATCTCAAACTTAAGAGTTCCATAACATTCTTTACAATGTCAGCCCCATCAAGAAAATATACAGTTTCCATCTTTTATATCTTTTTTCCAGATTTATTGATATATAACATTGTGTGAGTTTCAGATGTACAGTGTAATGATTTCATATATGTATATATTGTAAAATTATTACCACAATAAGGTTAGTTAACACATCCATCACCTCACATAGTTACCATTTTTCATGTGTGTGGTGAGAACACTTAAGATCTAGGGTCTTAGCAACTTTCAAGTGTACAATACAGTATTGTTAACTATAGTCACCATGCTGTACATTAGATCCCCAGAGCTTATTCATCTTTTTTTTCCAGATCAATAGATTTTATTTTAATTTTTACTTTTTTTAATTTACATTCAATTAGCCAACATATAGTACATCATTAGTTTCAGATGTAGAGTTCAATAATTCATCATTTGCATATAACACCCAGTGCTCATCACATCATGTATCCCCCTTAATGCCCATCATGCAATGACCCCACCCCCACCCACATCCCCTCCAGGAACCCTCAGTTTGTTTCCTGTAGTTAAGAGCCTCTCATGGTTTTTCTCCCTTTCTGATTACTTCCTATTCAGTTTTCCCTCCCTTCTCCTATGATCCTCTGCACTGTTTCTTATATTCCACATATAAGTGAAACCATATGATAATTGTCTTTCTCTGATTGACTCATTTCACTCAGCACAATACCCTCCAGTTTCATCCACATCAATTCAAATGGTGGGTATTCATCCTTTCCAATTGTTGAGTAATATTCCATTGTATATATATACACCACATCTTCTTTATCCATTCATCTGTCGATGGACATCTTGGCTCTTTCATCTTTTTTTGTTTGTTTTCTATTTTTTATTTTTTTATTATTGAGTTCAATTAGCCAACATATAGTACATCATTAATTTTTGAAAGAGTGTTCAACAATTCACTAGTTGCACATAAAACCAATGTTCATCACAACACGTCCCCTCCTTAATATCCATCACCCAGGTACCCCATCCTTCCACCCCTTTCCCTCTGCAACCCTCAGTTTGTTTCCTGGAGTCTAGAGTCTCTCATGGTTTGTCTCCCTTTCTGATTTCTTCCCATTCAGTTTTCCCTCCCTTCCCCTATGGTCCTCCGTGCTATTCCTTATGTTCCACATATGAGTGAAACCATATGGTAATTGTCTTTCTCTGCTTGACTTATTTCATTAGCATAATCTCCTCCAGTTCTATCCATGTCCATGCAAATGGTAGATATTCATCCTTTCTGATGGCTGCATAATATTCCATTGTAAATATGAACACAACTTCTTCGTCCATTCATCTGTTGAAGGACATCTTGGCTCCTTCCACATTCCAAAGATCCAGATAGTGTGAAAACAAGGAGCACATGCACCCCAATGTTCATAGCAGCAATGTCCATAATAGCTCTTTCATCTTCTAACTGGAAGTTTGTACCCTTTGACTATTTAAGCAAATGTGATGACTGTCGAATTTACAATGAAGAAAGTTCTCTACATATTTTTTCAGCAACACACAATGGTGGAATTTAAATATTAACACAAGCATATAGAGGCTTACAATCAGTAGAAACTTAAATACTTAATGCTTGGATGAACATACTTAATTTTTTTACTATTGTCTTTCTTGCTTTCAGGCATCATTTTCCAACCACCATTAGTTTTAGTTTCCCCCACCCCCAACTCGGCCTGTGTTTCTTTCAAGATAATTGGTCCAGGGAGACATTACTTTCTGTTTAATTTAAATAAATGATTCACCTGTGAATCTTTTTTTTTAATCTCTGAATTTTCTTAACCTTTAAAGACTCTTTTGGACATTCAGTCACAGTATTACATGGATAATTGAGGTAGCATGGTATGAATATCCTTAAAAATTGTCTGCTACAAAATATATTTGTTTTTGAGAGGAACAATACTTTCTCACCATAGGCAAGAAAGCATTCAGGTTTCATTTAACTCAGTTAAGTTAAGGAAACCTACTCTTTCCTCTGCTCGAGCAATGGTTTGATTTACATTGAGTCAATCAAACATCAATGTCATATTATCTTAGCTTTCCTCGTGTATACTCCATCATTTATTGAAGAGGAGCATATTCTAAAGGAGGAATATATTTTGGGAAGTTCTGGCCAGGAAATAATTTTATTCTGTGAAATTTCTTCAGCCTAATTTGGTTAAGGACAAAAAAATCATTTTAAATTACTGACTAGTTTGGGATGTGTTTACTTGGGCACACAAATTTATTAGATATCTGCAGTATTCTTTATAATTAAAATACAGATTTTTAGAATCAAAATCCTATCAACATGAACCACACACAATTTTGTTATGTTTCAAAAGACAGAGGCAACTGTAGTTTGTGTCTCATTAAGAAGTAAGAAATTAGTACACAAAGAAATATGGATATATCAATTTATTGCATCCAAAATATAACATACATATTAAGCTAAATATATAAATTATTATAATCTATTCTTGGTCATTATCTAAGCAGACTATAATAAAACAAGTCAAGTAAGCAAACCAACAACAACAATTAAACTATTGAAACATAACCCCATCTGAATGAGTTCCCAGAGCTCATAAATTACAATTCTCTTGCTTCCATTTTAAATATTGTAATGTCAGGTCAGATGTTATAATGGAAGCCAATGCATCAGAGAATGTTCTTCCCTTTTCTTTATTGTATGATATCTACAGATGGTGATATGGGAGGCAGCATGCTGAAATGAAAAAAGCATCAAAATGCCTAGATTTAGTTCCTGCCTTTGTATACAAGCTGAGTGATCTTGGGCAAGTCACTTTATCCTTCTAAGCTTTAATTTTCTCCTATAAAATGGAGATAAAAATAATACTAATACCAATACTACCAACAGTAATGCTTATGTCACAGGGCTCTTCAGATGATTACATGAGAAAATGTACATGAAAGTCTCTGTATAAAGGTTAAATTTTACGTTAAGTTCATCCTAACTACCAAGATGTATTTCCATAAATATCTTTAAAACATTTTTGTATGGAACTGTTATTCATTTAATTAATAGACTTCAATTTTTAGAACAGTTATAGAATTATAAAAAAAAACTTTGAAAAGTACAGAGAATTCTTTACTTTTGGTTGTCATAACTATGGAAGGGTGTTACTGGCATAAATTGGTAGAGGCCAGAGATACTAGTAAACACACTATAATGCACAGGGCAGCCCTCTACAATAATTGTTCAGCCAAAAATTTCAATGGTACCAAGTTTGAAACACTCTGGTCTACCTCTGAATTCTATAGTTAGTTTTTTAAGAATTTGAAAGCAGAGGCTATATTTAAAAAACAATAATAAAGGATGCACCTAATACAATATTTTGTACACAATTAACATGTAATCACTGATTTAATATATGTCTAATATCAGTGACTAAATATGAAATCTTGCCATTTGCAACGATGTGGATGGAACTGGAGGGTGTTACGCTGAGTGAAATAAGTCAATCAGAGAAAGACATGTATCATATGACCTCACTGATATGAGGAATTCTTAATCTCAGGAAACAAACTGAAGGTTGCTGGAGTGGTAGGGGGTGGTAGGGATGGGGTGATAGACATTGGGGAGGTTATGTGCTATGGTGAGCATTGTGAATTGTGTAAGACTGTTGAATCACAGACCTGTACCTCTGAAACAAATAATACATTATATGTAAAAAAAAGAAGAAGAAGAAGAAGAAGAAGATAGCAGGAAGGGAAGAATGAAGGAGGGGAAATCGTAGCGGGAGATGAACCATGAGAGACTATGGACTCTGAGAAACAAACTGAGGGTTTTAGAGGGGAGGGGGAGGTGGAGGAGGGGTTAGCCTGGTGATGGGTATTAAAGAGGGCACATACTGAATGGAGCCCTGGGTGTTATAAGCAAACAATGAATCATGGAACACTATATCAAAAACTAATGATGTAATGTATGGTGATTAACATAACATAATAAAATAAAAACTAATGATGTATGGTGATTAATATAACATAATAAAAATTAATAAAAAATAAAATAAAATATGTTCTGATTTAACAAAAAAATATTCTACATTAACTTTTCTTTTTACTATGGCAAAATAGGTAAATTTATTAAGTTTTGAGAATGAGGAGGGGAATATGGGCAATCATTACAAAGAACCATTATTGTTAATAACATTTTACCATACCAAAAATCTATTTTAGACCAAAATTTTTAGAATAGTTTTAAATTTACAGAAAAATGGAAATGATAATAGAAATTTACAGATCCACACTCAATTCCCCCTTTATTATTAGTATCTTAGATCAATATGTTACTTTTTTATAATTAACAAACCAATACTGATATGTTTTTATTGACTAAAGTCCATACTTTTTTCAGATTTCTTCACTTTTTACTTAATGCCCTTTTACTATTCCAAAGTCTGTATATCTTACAATAACTTCTTAATTTACTCCATTACTGCCTTCATTTCTACTTAAGTTAATTTTCTTGAAATGAAATGTTTTAATTCCCTCTTCATTTCTAATTGTGAATATTCTATATA